CATCCAATGTCACGTGATTTTGTGAACCAATGATATATCGGTATACATTGTATCCTTTCTACACATTTATATATATGTGTGTATGTAAACAAATACATTTCATCAATAAACTGAAAACCCTATATATTTGTATCATTTCTTTGTTTTGTTTGTTTTAGCTAACTTGGCTCACGTGACAAGTGAGCTTATGGCTTGGCAAAGCGACCTGCGTCCGTCTGTCCGTCCTGAAATTTTTTTTTATAGATCGCTGCTAGTTATAAACATTCAGTATTTTTTTTATGAAAATTTGGTAATTTAGACTTAACGCTTTCAACGATTTCTTCCAATCGGAAGAAAAAAAATTGACCAAATTTTGTCAAGAGAATAATAACACCAAGAGACTGATGGTGTCGACTTAAGTGGGAAATTTCGAACAGTGATATGAAGAAAAAAATAACGAAAACAAATTAAATATATGCATTAATTGTTTGATCAGTATGTTATTTAGTTAACGCCCTTAATGCTAGTGACATCAAAAGGTATGGAGATTTCCACTTTTTCATATACGAGTGTACTCTGGAGCCATACACAATATATAATAGTTAAAATTTATGTCTTAACTCTAGTGTAGGGGTTGGACGATAGTTAGGCTACTGTAGGATATTTACGGTACATGTAGTGACATGTACCTGTTTACTGTGTAGGATATTTACGGTACATGTAGTGACGTGTCCCTGTTTACTGTGTAGGATATTTACGGTACATGTAGTGACGTGTCCCTGTTTACTGTGTAGGATATTTACGGTACATGTAGTGACAACGTGTCCCTGTTTACTGTGTAGGATATTTACGGTACATGTAGTGTCGTGTCCCTGTTTACTGTGTAGGATATTTACGGTACATGTAGTGACGTGTCCCTGTTTACTGTGTAGGATATTTACGGTACATGTAGTGACGTGTCCCTGTTTACTGTGTAGGATATTTACGGTACATGTAGTGAGGATATTTACGGTACATGTAGTGACCCTGTTTACTGTGTAGGATATTTACGGTACATGTAGTGACGTGTCCCTGTTTACTGTGTAGGATATTTACGGTGTAGGATATTTACGGTACATGTAGTGACGTGTCCCTGTTTACTGTGTAGGATATTTACGGTACATGTAGTGACGTGTCCCTGTTTACTGTGTAGGATATTTACGGTACATGTAGTGACGTGTCCCTGTTTACTGTGTAGGATATGTACGGTGCAATAGTGACATGTCCCTGTTTACTGTGTAGGATATTTACGGTACATGTAGTGACGTGTCCCTGTTTGCTGTATAGGATATTTACGGTACATGTAGTGACGTGTCCCTGTTTACTGTGTAGGATATTTACGGTACATGTAGTGACGTGTCCCTGTTTACTGTGTAGGATATTTACGGTACATGTAGTGACAAGTCCCTGTTTACTGTGTAGGATATATACGGTACATGTAGTGACAAGTCCCTGTTTACTGTGTAGGATATTTACGGTACATGTAGTGACGTGTCCCTGTTTACTGTGTAGGATATTTACGGTACATGTAGTGACGTGTCCCTGTTTACTGTGTAGGATATTTACGGTACATGTAGTGACAAGTCCCTGTTTACTGTGTAGGATATTTACGGTACATGTAGTGACGTGTCCCTGTTTACTGTGTAGGATATTTACGGTACATGTAGTGACGTGTCCCTGTTTACTGTGTAGGATATTTACGGTACATGTAGTGACAAGTCCCTGTTTAATGTGGGATATTTACTGTACATGTAGTGACGTATCCCTGTTTAGTATGTAGGATATTTACGGTACATGTAGTGACGTGTCCCTGTTTACTGTGTAGGATATTTACGGTACATGTAGTGACGTGTCCCTGTTTACTGTGTAGGATATTTACATGTAGTACACTGTGTAGTAGTGACGTGTCCCTGTTTACTGTGTAGGATATTTACGGTACATGTAGTGACGTGTCCCTGTTTACTGTGTAGGATATTTACGGTACATGTAGACGTGTCCCTGTTTATGTGTAGGATATTTACGGTACATGTAGTGACGTGTCCCTGTTTACTGTGTAGGATATTTACGGTACATGTAGTGACGTGTCCCTGTTTACTGTGTAGGATATTTACGGTACATGTAGTGACGTGTCCCTGTTTACTGTGTAGGATATTTACGGTACATGTAGTGACGTGTCCCTGTTTACTGTGTAGGATATTTACGGTACATGTAGTGACGTGTCCCTGTTTACTGTGTAGGATATTTACGGTACATGTAGTGACGTGTCCCTGTTTACTGTGTAGGATATTTACGGTACATGTATTTATGTAGTGACGTGTCCCTGTTTACTGTGTAGGATATTTACGGTACATGTAGTGACGTGTCCCTGTTTACTGTGTAGGATATTTACGGTACTGTACATGTAGTGACGTGTCCCTGTTTACGTGCCCTGTTTACTGTGTAGGATATTTACACATGTAGTGACAAGTCCCTGTTTACTGTGTACGTACATGTAGTGACCCCTGTTTACTGTGTAGGATATTTACGGTACATGTAGTGACGTGTCCCTGTTTACTGTGTAGGATATTTACGGTACATGTAGTGACGTGTCCCTGTTTACTGTGTAGGATATTTACGGTACATGTAGTGACGTGTCCCTGTTTACTGTGTAGGATATTTACGGTACATGTAGTGACATGTCCCTGTTTACTGTGTAGGATATTTACGGTACATGTAGTGACGTGTCCCTGTTTACTGTGTAGGATATTTACGGTACATGTAGTGACGTGTCCCTGTTTACTGTGTAGGATATTTACGGTACATGTAGTGACGTGTCCCTGTTTACTGTGTAGGATATATACTGTACATGTAGTGACGTATCCCTGTTTAGTATGTAGGATATTTACGGTACATGTAGTGACGTGTCCCTGTTTACTGTGTAGGATATTTACGGTACATGTAGTGACAAGTCCCTGTTTACTGTGTTGGATATTTACGGTACATGTAGTGACGTGTCCCTGTTTACTGTGTAGGATATTTACGGTACATGTAGTGACGTGTCCCTGTTTACTGTGTAGGATATTTACGGTACATGTAGTGACAAGTCCCTGTTTACTGTGTAGGATATTTACGGTACATGTAGTGACGTGTCCCTGTTTACTGTGTAGGATATTTACGGTACATGTAGTGACGTGTCCCTGTTTACTGTGTAGGATATTTACGGTACATGTAGTGACGTGTCCCTGTTTACTGTGTAGGATATTTACGGTACATGTAGTGACGTGTCCCTGTTTACTGTGTAGGATATTTACGGTACATGTAGTGACGTGTCCCTGTTTACTGTGTAGGATATTTACGGTACATGTAGTGACAAGTCCCTGTTTACTGTGTAGGATATTTACGGTACATGTAGTGACGTGTCCCTGTTTACTGTGTAGGATATTTACGGTACATGTAGTGACGTGTCCCTGTTTACTGTGTAGGATATTTACGGTACAGGTAGTGGCAAGTCCCTGTTTACTGTGTTGGATATTAACGGTACATGTAGGATATTTACGGTACATGTAGTGACAAGTCCCTGTTTACTGTGTTGGATATTTACGGTACATGTAGTGACGTGTCCCTGTTTACTGTGTAGGATATTTACGGTACAATAGTGACATGTCCCTGTTTACTATGTAGGATATTTACGGTACATGTAGTGACGTGTCCCTGTTTACTGTGTAGGATATTTACGGTACATGTAGTGACAAGTCCCTGTTTACTGTGTAGGATATTTACGGTACATGTAGTGACGTGTCCCTGTTTACTGTGTAGGATATTTACGGTACATGTAGTGACGTGTCCCTGTTTACTGTGTAGGATATTTACGGTACATGTAGTGACAAGTCCCTGTTTACTGTGTAGGATATTTACGGTACATGTAGTGACGTGTCCCTGTTTACCGTGTAGGATATGTACGGTACAATAGTGACATGTCCTTGTTTACTGTGTAGGATATTTACGGTACATGTAATGACGTGTCCCTGTTTACTGTGTAGGATATTTACGGTACATGTAGTGACAAGTCCCTGTTTACTGTGTAGGATATTTACGGTACATGTAGTGACAAGTCCCTGTTTACTGTGTAGGATATTTACGGTACATGTAGTGACGTGTCCCTGTTTACTGTGTAGGATATTTACGGTACATGTAGTGACGTGTCCCTGTTTACTGTGTAGGATATTTACGGTACATGTAGTGACGTGTCCCTGTTTACTGTGTAGGATATTTACGGTACATGTAGTGACGTGTCCCTGTTTACTGTGTAGGATATTTACGGTACAGGTAGTGACAAGTCCCTGTATATCTCTATGTATCCTTTTTACACAATATGGTATGCCGTTGATTTTGGTGTTCTGGGAGTATTGGAATTCTGATTATTAATAATCATTCGGTTCCGCTTTAGTAGGACAAAACATAATTAATGATACATGTTTCAGAGACACTGCGTATGTGTAAAAGTAAGGTGTTGTAAGTATGACAGAGTTCATTCTATTATATATACACGTACAGAAAGTACATTTTAAACTGCATTTGGATTAAGTGCAAACTTTGATGAATATTCGCCTCAAGGCAAATAATTTGCGTCAAGCCTGACATAAAGATTTTGCCTTTAGAGTTAAATAGAAATAAACAGATTGTCCACATATCCCTCACGGCTATGATCTCAAGACCAAAAATTCTGTCGCATAACTGAATCGATAAAGAGAATCAACGTGAAAGAAGTACATTATAAGTTGTAGAAAAAATATGAGATTATATTTAATATGGACGATTTGATGAAAAAAAATCCAGAGGATTTAAGAAAAGACGAGAGAGAACTATTAAAAAGTAAAATCTCGGTTATCAAAAGTGAATTCAAATAATCCCGGGTTCGGAATATCGTCAGCCAAGCAAAACCCGCGTTACACTAGCAGGAAGTGAAATCACAAGGACGTTTACCTTACAGCCTAACAAAGCAGCGTGCTACCCTGGTAGAGGACGAGTTAAAACAAGACATGAAATCAGCGGCTGGTTAACCTGACAGTTACTTTGCCCTTAAAGGTAACAAGCCGTTATCATTCAGTTTTCAGATATGAATCGAAAAACGAACCAATTCTTAATTGCCAAGCCTTTCACGTATATATTTGTAGATAATTGTTATTAGTATGATAATATACATGTATGTCCTAAATCACTTGTATGTTTCCTGGTGACCCTGGTTGTTTGTCCTGGCCTGTGGAGATCAGATACGGCGTGAGTGTGCTGGTATGGTCGTTGTAACTTTTGTAGAAGCCGAAGTCTATTAATAGACGGATTTTTGAAAGCGTCACAAGTACATCATAATTGATGTATTGGGGACTGAGATATAAGTATGCGTATGTACTTAACGTTATGTAAATAAAACTATATACTGTGTTGTGTTTAATAAGAATCTATCTATGTATATATACACACAAAGAATAGTTTTATAGCCGTAGTATTTGTATGTGTATGAAGAGTAGAGTGTAGCACTATTGACGAAACATCGTGTACTATGTAGTAGTGTGATAAGATTAAGTACTGCACATTTATACACGAAACCGAAAAGAGAGATACCGGTCAGTTCCGACTAAGGTCCTAACTTGAAGTTTTCTAAATATAGCTACCACTTTTCGAAACTAGTCGCTACTGACCACGGGATGGTATATTACGTATGTGTGTATTTTCGTCTACGTGTGTTACACTTGTCACTCGTATACACGGTTCGTCATAAGTATACTTGTAAGTATACTAGAGTACACAGGAAGAAAAAAATACTGTTAAACGTATTTCATTTATGCGAGTTTCTGCAAATGTAAGTATGAAAATACGGTATCTTGATTGATTGATTGATTGGTTGATTCAGATTGATTGATTGATTCAGATTAATTAATTGATTGATTGATTGATTGAATGATTGATTGATTGATTGATTGATTGATTGTCTGATTGATTGATTGATTGGTTGGTTGGTTGGTTGGTTGGTTGGTTGGTTGACTGACTGACTGACTGACTGACTGATTGATTGACTGATTTCTATTATGAACAATAAATGTTATTGTAGAAGTGTTTTTGGAAAATGTACATAGATCATATTTTCTTTTTTTTCAATTTTCGGAGATTGTTTTGAAATATCATAATTTTCTTAATATCATTTAAACGCATCTATTTAAGATATTTTTTATGAATGCAGGTGAAATCAATGGCCGACAAACTTAAATTGATATATCCGACCATACAGGAATGCCACAGAAAACTGGTAACAGATTTCCTAGAGAAGAATGGTTTCATGAAAACGGTCTGGTATCTTGTAGAGAACATATGGGATCATAAAACACTCACAGAATGTGATAGAGTAATAAAATCTGAGGATGCAACCAGCCCCTTGTATGACCTTCTTTTCAAAGAATACAACGTAGAAGAACATTTCAGACAAGTGGATTCTCACAGAGAGTGGATCATTAAAGCATACAAACGTTTAAAAGACTATGTTCCCCACATGACATTGGATGACGCAGAAGGGCATGACCTCAGCAAATACGACCTTGTCCAGGCCATAGGTTACACAGCCAAGTGGGTCCACAACGTTGACTGGGACAACGAGACATGGCAGTCCTCTTTGAACGACCATTACAGGTTTGTGTACTTGTATAACAAGAGATCCATGAGTGATGTTGGAGCCCATCAATGTATGATCCTTTTTACGTCATCAGTTGTCTTGATCTCCCCCCCCCCCCCCACCCCCCATTTTCCCGCCCTTTCTCTAACTATATAGTTATAATGTTTAATTGACAACTACGCAAATAAAATCGAGATTTCCATCTAGATCACACCTATAACCTAATTATGAGATTTTAATTTTCACAAAACTTGTGTATTGTACAATGACCTATCAAATATGTCTTCTTAAAAAGCGAACAGCAGAATTTTTTTCTTTATTCATAATATCACAAGCAATTTTGCGATATAGACAAACAGTGGTGAACCTACATCCACAATCTTCCACAAGTTAAACAGATCGTATCACAATTCATGTGATGTGTTTAATCTTATTCTGACTTCATGGTCACTTCAGTTCTTTGTCCCTTTAACCCATTCGATAATTAGTTTTCTTAAGTTTCTCAATACGTACTGTATATATTAGTTATCAAAACAATGTAAGTTTCAGACGCCAAGCGTTCTGCGTGCGTACATTGTGCCGTAAATGTACCACACAATTTACTTATGCCCTTCGTCAATCTGCAACACGTCCTACTATTACGACATCACGTAATTGATTATCCTTAATTAGCACACCTGGCGGCACTGACCACAGGTAAGGGATAATTACAATTAAGGGGACACGGGTCACTTGGTTAACGGTACAAGTAATGTGAACGGATATATCAAATTTTGCCCTGACAATGAATAAAACAATTACCTGTTTTCTACGCAGGCGCGAACGTCACCATCCTCAGTTCTATCCAAAAGGTCAAAGGATGCCCCGGAAGGACTTAGAAGAGAGCCTTGTCGACATGGTTGCTAGCCAGTGGGAACGAAAACTCAATGGAAACGAAAACGTTTCAAATGCTGACCTCGTTGATTTTGATCCGAAATATTTACAACGGTAAGTTTTGCAGATTATAAACCGTATGTAAACAAAACATAGCTTGCGATATAACCTTTGAAAATAAATTGCTTAGATATTAAATTCACATAGTTCTTGTCGCTTATGACAAGGTGATACGTCTTCTCGAGGCGGGTTTTGATACTAATAAATTATTCATTACAGTTAATAAATGTACTTTAAACCTTTGGGAATTTGAATGAAAAAAAACCATATATCTATATTTCAAATAAATAATAAATAGGCATATTCTTCGTTGTAGATATTGTAGCGAAGACTTCGTGGATGTGCAGGTTTTAACGGAGAAAATCAAGCAAAATGACTTAGCAACATACAGATGGAATCTTATTGAAGCAGTCACACCAGAATCGAAGAGAAATGATGTTCAGCTGTTCTACAAAGAAAATGGATTTCTTCAAACGATTTTGCATTTGTACGAGGCTGTCTGGGACTCGGATACCATAACCCTAGCCGAGAAAGGGATCAGGGATCGGGACCCTACTAACCCCTTATACCAATTACTTATGATAGAATATGACATTCAGGAACACTACCGCCAGTGTGATTCCCACAGGTTCTGGATTGTGAAAGCTTACGAACGTCTCAAAGCTGAGAATTTCCTAACCGAGATGACGGAAAATGACGCAAAAGTTCACGACCTGAGTAAATATGACATTTCTCAAGCGATAGGTTACACGGCCAAGTGGGTTCATAAGGTCAATTGGAACAACAATACGTGGCAGCGTTCTCTAAATGACCATTACAGACGAGAAAGTCATCATCCGCAGTATCATCCTGAAGGGGAGAGAATGCCACGGAAAGATTTGGAAGAAAGTCTCGTTGATATGATTGCTTGTAGGTGGGAACGAGATTTAAAAGGAAACGAGGAAGTAACTTGGCACGATTTGGTAGATTTTCATCCAAACTTTTTAAAGCGTTATTGTGAAGAAGACCTAACGGAAGTGACGTCACTTATCAAACGTATCAAGGAACATTGCAGTGAAGGTGAATAAGAAACTGCTGCACGAGAAAGTAGAGAATGTATAAGGATAAAGTCCTAACTGGTGACTTATTTTAGCTTTCTGTGTCCACTAGATGGATTACCGCAGGGAAACGTGAAGACTGATTTTAAATAGCACTTTCAGGAATCAAAATCAGATTCACATTTGTAGTCAAATATTTTGATTTTATCTTTTAACAATCGGTTTATCATATTTTATTGGCATTAATCAACTGGATTGGGCATTGATGGCGTTCATTTATATACATTCATTTATTGTTATAGTTGAAAATATATTTCTACCTGAAAGATGTTGGTCTATATAGTAGATTATGACGTACCATTTTAATCTTTTGTGATTTTTGTGATTTAAGATTTTTAGAATTTGTCCTTTATCCTTTAGTTTGTTTGATGTCATTTCCTTTTTGGACTGCTAATTATTCATAAGTTGGATTTTATTTATTAGAGAGAGAGGTGGGGAAAGAGAGAAAAGAGAGAGAGAGAGAGAGAGAGAGAGTCAAAGAGAGAGAGAGAGAGTCAAAGAGAGAGAGAGAGAGAGAGAGTCAAAGAGAGAGAGAGAGAAAGGGAGGGAGCGAGAGAGAGACAGAGAGAGAGAGAGATAGAGTGAGAGACAGAGTGAGAGACAAAGAGAGAGAGACAGAGTGAGAGACAAAGAGAGAGAGACAGAGTGAGAGACAAAGAGAGAGACAGAGAGAGAGAGAGAGAGAGAGAGAGAGAGAGAGAGAGAGAGAGAGAGAGAGAGAGAGAGAGAGAGAGAGAGAGAGAGAGTTTCTTTTTATATACACAGGCACCTCAGTATATCAATATTAAGCAATAAGCTAACAAAATCTTTCTTACATTTTCATCAAATGTTCACTCGCTCAATTTCATATTTACTCACATTAAAAATTTGGTCAAGTGAAGGAGTCCTCCAGCACTACCAGCACAGTGACATCCTGGTACGGTTTCTGGTTGTCGACCTATGGACTGTCACATCTCGTGATTGATGGCTTTCTCCTTCTAAATCTGTCCTTTCTCGGATATTCGTTCCCACTGTAGGATCAGTAATTGAGTAACCCCAGCATGCCTCCATGTACATCAGTAAGACGAATTGTTTTAGAAAGAATCGCTCTCTTTACTTCACACTCCTATCCATACCCACGCACGTCCTCATCATACACATCCTTCTTACAAATTCTTGTTTGTAACTTTGAGTTCTGTAGAAGTAAGTTTTTATAGAAAACGTTTGTTACCTTGTTGCCCCCCGTGAACAAAGTCAGTGAAATAAATATCTTGCCTTTTTATCTATACTTTAAAGTATTTGTGTTTTGAATACATATATAAAGAAAATCTACAATTATATCAGTGATATAGATAAATAGTTCTTCATTCGTTGCCTTCAGTGGCATAGTTCTTAGTTTATATATAAATGTTGTAGAATTGTATGTTATTTTATTTAATAAGAACGATGTTTGCAATTTCGATTCTTGTTTTTTTTCCTTAGTCGAGGGTGGGAAGGGGTGGAGTGTTCGCTTGAACGAATCGTTAGAGCGCGGGCTCGGAAACAGAGAGTAATGTGTTCGATTCTTAGTGGAGAAGCGCAATTGCATTCAACTGAATGTCAGAACACGTATGTATATTTTCAAATTTTGAGAGCATCGCTCGAGTAACAAATTGATATGATAAAAGGATCTTGACCGATTCCCGATTGTATTCATAGTATACCGAAATATCATAGGGAACGTGACACCACTATCGGATAGCAGATTTCATTTGCCCTTTCGTCGTCGTTATTATACGCCAGAGGAGTTATTTTCGTGTCATTGCTGTCATGTGGCACGATAATTATTGTGTTCATGATTATTACATGTCCTTGGTTATGTCACCACTCCAGACGCAAAGGCGTTGAAACAAAGGAAATAAGCAATACACTAATTAGCAATGGATAATTAATTGCTATTCGTTAATTAGCCGCCATACCTTCGTCATTAGTATCAACCAACTTGCGGGTAATGAGAAGCCTGTAATCTGATGATGGCCAAACAGAAAATCACTTGGAATTCAATTGTCGTCATAATTTTTCTTTCGTCTCGTGTAACGCGGAGTAATATAGATACATACATGATCACTTGGTTTATATATAGAACAAAAAGTGTAAATTACCTAACAAAGTAGGGACAGGAATAACAGGCAACGTGAGTTTTAAGGCATCAAAGATGTGAAATTAAAGTCTCGGCTTCTGAATCGTTATCAAATGTCATACGCGAAAAAGTATCTTAAAAGGCAATTCTAGGAAGAAGGACAAGTGTGAAATGATCTACAAGATTCCTTGTGCCACCTGCCTTGTTTCTTACGTAGCAGAAATCTGAGAGATCATTAGGCACCGCATCAAATAACATTGTATGGACACCGAGAAAGGAACTCTATATACAACGCCTCCACTGTCGCCGTAGACGCCCTGTAGATAGGTCGCGAGATCGACTGGCCCGTCATTGATAGAGAGCAGAACTGGGTGCAGCAAGGACAAAGTAGATCAGTCACATCAGGCTCAACACAACAGATTTAACAGAGACGCCTGCGTGGTTACGTCACTATGCAGAGTGACGTAGCCACGCCGTCTCGTGTCAATCACTTGAGTGACCAAGATGGGCAGTAGACATTAAAATCTCGGTCAACTTAGTAGAAAGTTGAAAGTAAGAATTTAAATCGCGGTTTTTGTTTCACGGGAAGCTGTGAAACGGACCTGTCTTCTGACGAGATTGTAGCGTTGGACAAGAAACTTTACTTTAATTGCTCCCGACGGCAGGCGACGGTCTCTCGTATGTTGTTCACTTTGGTAAACACCAGCAATCGCAAAGACACCTCGCCTCAAAATTACCATTGCTCTTCACGTGTCGAAAAACTCAAACAAACAATACAAATTTAAAGATGGCGTCATCAGATTTGGGCGTGCTTTCTTCATTTATTCTGTCAATAACATCAGGGACGTGTTATATGTGCTCTGTGTATTTGCTCGGAGACGTGAATCATCTGTCGCGTAATTATGAGGCTTTCATTTGGTGCGCAGTCGATTGATATTGCCGGCCGACGATCAGTAAAACTACGTACACAATATTCCACTTAACTCGAGAATTTTGCCGTTTATATATGTGATTTACACTTTATGCCGAGTATTGAAAATGGTATAAATTTGTAGTTTATCATCACCTTTTATCGTTATAGTTTCAAATTCGATCAATTTGAGACTAACAAATCCTATCGGATGTTGTAATTTTATATATTAAGAAAATAACGAAATTTCTGGGGAAGGAGGGAGGGACCGTCATGTCAACGAAATCAGGACAAAATATGAACAAAAGTCAGATTAAAACGAAGCCTCCTGAGTGTTCCGGAAGAGTAAGCGTCTTCTGCTTCATGTACGAAAGCCGACATGTAAATCTTGGTCAATCCAAGAAAGTAATGTTCTGTATAATATTTCCTAATGAAGTCATATCGTGACAACGCAACAGTTTGTGGTAAATATCACTTGAACTTGAACAGACATTACCATTTTGAGTTGGGTTATTCAAATAGCTAACGACTACCTCGCTGAAAATGATGCGAGAGGTCCTGTTTATTCAGAGCAACTGAATTTATTTTTTTACTGAGGAACACAACCATCAGTACGACAACACAGGACAGTATGTAATGTCATATTTTCTGAAAAACCACTAACTTCCCCGAGTGGGGAACAAATTGTACAACTGGGATCTTCATCACAGATTACAGGTTTCGAGGCCTTCTTACGGAGCTACCGAGGTCCATGCTAAAGAACAAAAACGTGTAGCGCGTAGCGCGTAGCGGATTCATTCAAAAGTTTGCAAACACATTTTTTTTCATACCCCTATGAAAGTAAAAAAATTACATCAACGCTTACAATTAATTCTAAATCCACCGAGTTTAAAACAAAACATAAAAGGAAGTAATTTTAAACGAATTCAATAGTGGCACTTTATATATGCGCAATAACCTTGAACTGAACGATATGCAAATCAGCGCGCGCGTGTCAGCTGATCGGATCAGCGGGAAGACGTCGGCCATCTTTCATAGCTTACCCAAGCGAGGTATGCTGGATGGAAAAGTTCAGTGTTTTACTTAAAACTGTTTTTGGCCGAAATTAAACACGCAGTTTGAAAAGGAAGAGTGGGAAAGAAGTCCAGAGGACATAAAGTTGTTGGAAGAAGCAAGCTGTGTTGAATTCAATGTATGGTTTAATCCTGACACACGTGGTTCACTTGTGACAGTTGATTGTAGGCCAATACTCCGGGTGACGGTGGCTTCGGGTTGTGTAATACTATGAGTTATGGGTACGACTTCCTGGTTGGCGTTCGGCTGTATGACTGTAGACAGGGCTGTACTAAGCTGATATTTCTGTGTGCCTTTGATGTTGCCGGGGAAAAATAGTTCCGACGAAGAGGGAGCGTGCCTTATTATTTTTTTTCATACAGGTATGAATTTTTTTTAGACCAATCACATTGCAGTATTTTGTATGAAAAAAAGAAAAATTAATTATTTCACATTATAGCAACAATGGATCCGTAACTCAGGTCGACGTCAATCATAAACGAAAAGTTTGATAACGCCATGCAACTACGTATGAAAACCCTGTCGCCCTGGTAAAAGTTGTCACCCCTACCAAGAAAAGGGGGAATATCACACTTGATAGAATAGTGGACCAAATGACATGTGTGTAATTGGTCCCGTTTTATGGTGATCAAGAGATACAGATCCTAATCACTTGCCGCATAATTTTCATACAATTTTGCTCAACATACGCACTAACTCATGTTAAGTTAGATAAATCAATTTTCAACAAATAATTTAAGCAGTGAGACAATTTCGGTCTTTATGCCATTAGAGTGGTAATATTCTCATGATTGATCTTTAAGTTTTGTTATTATATATAGAGCTTGTGAAACTGTTGGCATCTTAGAGGTACAAGGCTTGTTCTTGGACAGAAAGAAAAGACATGCATGGATTGACTTCGATCAGTTTTCATAACCATGATACGTGTACCTGAAGAAGGAAATGCGTAATATTATTGGAATTCATCAACCATGAAATATTGATTGGTAACGGACAAATAGCATCACTGTAAACGATACATATTGCTTAAAGAAGCAAGAAAATACCAACATGGCAACATAATCATAATTCAAACTCAAATTCCATAAACTAGGAGAAAATATGATCAAAAGAAAAA